AGCCAAAATCTTCGCCGGTGAGGTTCCAAGAACCCTCTCAACTTGATTGCTCAAGTCCACATCCACATTTTTAACACCTAAAAAGTAAAGAGAAACAGCTATTTAAAGTTGACGGAAGATAGAAAGAAACAAGAAAGTAAATAGCTTTTTCACACCCTTACCATCAAGACTTTTTAATTTATTCTTGACAGAACTAACACAGTCCTCACCCTTCATATCCACCGTAAATTCCGTCTGTCACGACAAAGACACAAAGAAGTAAGATATCAGTGATTCATGGTTTAAATCTCTAATGACGCAAGTTGATCGAGAAGCTGGCAATTCCCGTTTTAATAGATCACATCAAACTTCACTCAAGCCCCTCTCATCCCTTTCCCCGACTTAAAAAAAAAAAATGGAAGAAGAAGAAGAAGGCAAATGGCACCAATGCAGCAGAACTGTATTCCTGTGCATATAAAACACAACAATATTTGCATATTGACACGTATAAAATGAAACTCTAATGAATAACTTCAACAACTTAATAACTCTGTGCTCTTCCCATCTTGGGACTTGGCCCACTTCCCCCATCAATACTCTGTTAACGAGAAAATCAAAATTAAAATGAGAAAATATGAAAAATGGGTTAAACCTCCAAATTGGTTTTCGAGGAACCAATAAAGACAAACAATATATAATATGTTTACAAATTGAAGTTTAAATACAAGATAAACCTGTATATTATCTCCCAACAATAAGACTAATTCAAATATAAAACTGTTTCCTAAATTGAATAAAAAATGCAGAAAACATGGAAAGAAAAGAAAATAAATAGAGCACACGCAAACCTGTAATTTAATCACATAAACTCACCAGTAATTCCCGCAAACCTGTACAGTTCTGCGAATCAAAATCAAGAAAATAACCAGTAAAGCTTTTCGATGAACAAACATAAACAAAATCGGAACAAAAAATGGTGGACAAAAAAACAATTTACCTGTGCTGGTGGTTTCTGATTCGATGATGGAGGGTCCATTGATGATTGAACAGAAGCCAGTGACGGAGAGATACGAACAGATAAAGTTTTTATAGAAAAAGACGTAGAGTGCAGAGGCAACTTGAATTGCAGCGGCAATGGCAGTTTTATACGTCAGCAATTACCAAAAACATGTCATCCAAATGACGACACTTCAACCTTTTTTATTCGCAACTTCTACGGATTTATTTATCAACAAATAATAGAATTCATTGTCCCAATAATCATTCAACATGTTGCAATATCTTCCCTTATTCACTAAAATTTAAACTGTCAAAATTTGGTCATTGAATTTATCCAAATATTGAACGCTACTCACGGATTTAACTTCCGTTTATAACTTCTAACGAAAGTAGTGATGTGGCCGACGGAATGTTCAAGTGGCGTCAAATGACCGAGCCACGTAAAAAAGTGTCCTTCATTGCTCACTAAATTTTAAAAATTGTCTTTGATGGCTCACTCAACTTAGAAAGTGGTTGAATTTTGCCCACTAAATTTATGAAAATGAAGTCGGCTTAGGTAGAAAATTTTGTGCGATCAGCTTCATTTTTCATAAGTTTAGTGGTTAAAATTCGACTACGTTCAAGTTCAGTGAGTAATTGAAAACGTTTCTTCAAGTATAATGAACAATCGAAGACTTTTTTTAAAATATATTGAGTAATCGAAGACATTTTTTAAAGTTTAATAAACAACGAAAGACATTTTTTTTAGGTGGTAATAGCGACATAACGCCATCTAAACATTCCATCGACAAAATCACCACTTCCGTTAGAGGTCATAAACGAAAGTTAAGCCAGTGAGTAAGTTCTAAGGTTTGGATACGTTCAACGGTCAAATCTTGACATTTTAAATTTCAGTGAGTAATCAAAGATATTGACATAATTCAGTAATTATTGAGACAATTAACTCACAAATAATGTGATAATATTTGATTGATCAAAATCTCATTAATTAAATAACAAAAAAATTCTTCCACTTTTTTGTGACATTTCATCAATCTGTAAAAAATTATATAAAATCATTTTCTTTTATCTTTTCAAAGAACAATATTAGGAGGAAATCAAACCTCTTGAACTGGCATCAAAGGTTCCGGTACGATTTTAAAAAGGATAAATTAGGAATTGAACCCAAACTTTGGGCTATTGAAAGCAAATTGTCCATTTCTATAAATTTTTATTTTTAAAATTTATTCACTCTAATCTAATAATTTAACCAAAAATAGCAAGTATGCATAGAGTTTGCAATATTTAAATAAAGAACATCTTATACATTATAATGAGAATATTTAAGTTTAGTAAGTCAAAATTTTTATGCACTTTAATAATATTCTCTATTTCGATTCTTCATTTTACTTTTTTCTCTTAGGAAATAATTATTGATTTCTCTTTATATTTTATTTAACATATTTTTTGTAGGGATAATTGTAGCTAGGGTTCCAAACCTTTCAATTTTTCACAAACTTTATCCGAATATTTTGTGTGCAAACCAAAGTCTTAAATCTTTAATTTACTTGCAGCACAAGGATGAACTCACATAATCTGTCAAATTTAGTTGATCAAAAACTTGACTTTAACCAAATCTGATCAATTTCAAAAAAGGTAAAATAATAACTTTAAACTTTTCATATATATATATATATATATATTAAACATTACATCTTCTTCCCACCCACCACACTTACCCCCACCAACCCCAACCAAACGAACCAAAATCCATCCACCTCCACCGCGCCGACGACGCAATCCACCCACACACAGGCTGCAGCGACCGTCACAAGCACCCCGCAAATTAGCAGCAAGAAATGGACCTTACCAGAACTTGCTTAGAAGTCATATAGAAACTTGACAGCATGTTCTTTGCACGTGTCACTCGCCACCCTCTAACACAGTATAAACAAATCATTTCCCTAATCCCTTTTCAATCTATTTTCTCTTCTTCTCCTCTTTGGTCAAGATAGTCTCTTCGGCAGACCATTTCAGTAGGAAATCCATATTTTTATCCAAAAGTTGCATAGAAAATCTAGAAAATATATCAATTCCCTTTTAGCATTTGCTACTCAAGAAAATCCTTTATTGTTGTCAGTCAGCCTTCTTTGTTAAAGAATTCAAGGTAGTTCTAGAAAGTGACATTGAAGTGTCGGAAAATTGATTTCGTAATCCTTAAATGTTAAAGAGTTTTCTTTGTTCGTTTGATAACTTAATTTTTTATGTAAATGGTGAAATGCCTACATTTCCAACGGCAGTGCCTAAATCTTCAATCTTGACTGCACAGATATGATCTTTGGATACCGCATTTTGAAATCTCTAATCGGTTGTTAAAGTTCAAATCTCTAATCCGACCTATGTAAATCTACATAGTTGGACAAGAGGTTTTGAAATATTTGATTGATTAATGCTCGAAGAACCAATATGACCGAAATGCCTAATTTGAGGTGGCGCTTGTGGCAGAGGTGGGTGGGTGGGCTGCAATCATCGGCTTAGTGGAGGTGGGTGGATTTTGGTTGGACATTGATGTAGTAAAGGATAAGAGGGTGTCCTACACTACATCTTTGCTTTATATGGAAGCAATGATTTATTCTATTCCTTAAAGTTACAATAGACATTTAACGGTGAGTTCCCTTATCGTGATTTTGACCACACTGAAAATCCTATTAGTTATTAAATCATTGATATTGTTGAATGGAAAATTGTTGAATGGAAATCCTATTAGCTGATTTTGACCACACTGAAAATCCTATTAGTTATTAAATCATTGATATTTATTTTGTTTAATGTTTAATGATATTGTTGAATGGAAAGTTGAATCGAGTGATGACTTTAAAAACCAAACATACAAACCTTACCAAAAATTGAATAGAGTAACATCAAGAAAATGTGTAATAAAAACCAAAGAAAAAAAATGTCGAAGTAACGCCAAGTGAAATAGATGCAAAGTCGAGACAAGAGTTGAACTCGTTGTCCTTAAATCGAATTTGCCCCACAACGGTTCTTACGAATTGATGACAATCAACTCTTAAGATACAACGGACAATTTTCTTGTATTAGTAGCACTCCAAAACACAAGAATCAACTAATCAAAATTATGTTAATGTACTCCTTTTGAATGAAATTGAAAAACAGCTTTATATGCAAATGTTTAGCTAAGAAAATATGAAATTTTATGTCAAGTTATAATTGCATATTTTTGGGATGATAAAATGGATGTCTCATGGGTTCTATTTATAGAGGAGGAAAGGTTTAGAGTGAAATGTCGTAACCCAAAAACTCAGCAATCTTTGTCAAGGATCGTAGTTTTTGTTGTCCCTGACATGTTGCCGTGTTAAACCCATTTATCCTTGTGCAGTGAGTAAATTAAAAGTTTGGGAATATGGATAATACAAATGAAAGTTCAAATAAATCTGCAAAAAAAGTAAAAATACTAATGACATTTGGTACCTTGTGACCACACTATGAATTGGCACCCCACAAATTCTGCTTGAAGCGTTGCAAAGTCCCAATCGAATCGAAATTAAATGCTATTATACGAAATATTAAATATTATATGACATTTTTTCCTTATATAAAAAAAATAATGTATTATCAACTCACAATGTTTTACTAATATATATTCTAAATAGAACGAACTCGAATCAAAACTATATCACAACCGTACCTGGGCATTTTAAACATATTTTTATGTATAGTTTCGATTTGAAATTTTAATTTCCATACCTAACCTACTTAATTTATTTTTAAAAAAAAAGGGCAGAAAAGTCGATAATGATGGCATTATAAAGAATCGCTAAAATTATTAAAATAATAAAACGGAACCAAATCATAACGCCGTTTTAAAATCATAGAATAGTAAAATCCGAGTTTAACAACCATTCGAAACATTTAAGTATTTCACTTGTTAATGTTCATATGTGATTATTTTGTTTCAAAATATTTGAAAGGCACAACATGAGGAGAGAAATCTACAAAATGTGCACAAACAGATCATAATATTAAACTTTACTGCTGACGAAATCTGCATTGGTTGCTTCCCAGATGGTAGTGCCATCACACGTGCAAAGCTTTTTGTAGTTCTCACCAACTCCTGCACTTCTAGCTATCACTGCAGCAGCAAGACCTTCATCTGATTTATCCTCGCTTCCATACACAACTATGGATCGTCCGATCAGATCAGCAACTCTCAGCTTTTCTTTCACACCGGAAAAGAAAGCCTCACCTTTCTCATCAGCATTTAGTGTTCCCAGGTCACCAACAGGCTGAAAAATATAAGATATCGATTAGCAGATGCACACAAATAAGAATCGCAACAAGTTGTTCTCAATAAATTTGGGGTCGGTTATTTGAATCTTTTTCTCCTCTCTTCTGTTTATTGCTAGATAGATAGGTGGACACCGGAGCCAGAGTAATAGAGTTGAAAAGCCTTTCTTAACATTTACTCGACTTGTGAGGGAGACGTTAACAGTGTAAATATGAAATATTAAGATTGATGCATCTTTCCTATTCCTTTATTAAGAAAGATTGGAAAGGAAAGATAATGCCGAAGAATTATTTTTTTTGATTCAAAAAGAATTTCAATAAATGAAGCAGGAAAAATGAAAACAGAATAAGGTATTGCACGTACAACTTTACAAACCTCTTTTGCATCACTTATCGGGTTGAACACTTTCCCGGTACTTGCTGCACCCCGAGTCAAATCCCCGAATTCATTGATGGACCAACCATGTTTTCCAGGCGGCAAACCACTGAAGTTCGCTTCAATTCTAGCCAATTCCATGTTCACTTGAGCTAAGCGAACTACTCCGAAAATAGAAGGACCTTTAAATTCAGTGACAGCAGCCGAAATAAGGAAATCTGCAGTCACGCATCAATCGTCAATACTCTTGTAACTAAAAAAATTAATGCCAAGTAAAATCTATACGAGTTCAAGATAGTGAAGCATCCACTGGAGAAGACCAAAACGAATTGCACAAGTAAGGACAACTTTGGGCCTCTGTGCAACAGTTTTTGTTCTTTCGAAATTTATGAACAAGCCCACAACAGCAGCAGCAAACTAAGAGTTGTTCTGAATAATCTAATCCATATTCATCTCTATTTGGTTCATTGCTAGATCTACTAAAAGATTTGAAACAATTAAAACATTAAAATTCGCGTCACTTACGATAAAGGGAAGCCTCTTTAGGTTTATGTAGACAATATCCCAACAACTTAAAACCATCGTTCCATTAATTTATATATCGATCGGTGCCATCTCCACTTGGTGTACATTTTCATTTCTTATTTCATCCATTTTATTGTGTCCACCAATCCATCTTAGAGCATTGGCTAAGCTTAACACCNTATATTTACTTAAAAGAAAGAAAAAGTAACATATCGACAACTCTTAGGATCCTTGTTTCCACTGCATTCATCTTTTGGACATCTTGTCCTTTGGAAACTCAACTTATGAACAAGTCCATAAAGGAGATAAATCAAAAAAGGGAAGGTCATTGAGGTTAAAACAAGATAGCCAAAACATCACATCCTAGCTTACCTTCAGGCACCCCTTGTCCGATTAACCGGGCTTTTCGACCAGTCTGCTCCAATGCTTCAGTCAAAATCTTCACTGGTGAAGTTCCAAGAACCCTCACAACTTGATTGCTCAAGTCCACATCACATTTTTAACACCTAAAAAGTAAAGACAAACAGATATTTATAGTTGCAGGAAAATACAAGAAACAAGAAAGTCTTAGGGCCTGTTTGGTACAGCTCAAAATCCAATTAAAATTGAAAATATAGCCGTTGTTGGGTCCCACTCATCTAATAAAAGTCAACAATAATGGCTAGTTTTTCAATTTTAATCCGATTTTAATCTCTACCAAACACCCTTTAATAAGTTTTTTTTTCACTCCCTCACCATAAAGAGTTTGTAATTTATCCTTGACTGAATTAACACAGCCCTCACACTTCATATCCACCATAAATTCCGTCTGCACGATGATGACACAAAAAAGTCAGATATCTGTGATGATTTATTCCTAAATGCACAAGTTGATTTACAAGCCAATAATTTCTTTTATAACAGTTCACAATGAACTTCATATGAGCCCCTCCCAGCCCATCTCATCCCCTTCCCCCCACCAACTCTGAGAAAGGGGGAAAAAGGAAAATAAAAAAGAGCATACGCAAAGAAAAAAAATGTACATCCTATCCAAACTTAAGAAACTTAGTCTGGCATCAATGCAAAAGAACTGTATGCGTGTGTTTGTGGGCTCAGCGTATGTGTGTATAAAACACAACAATAATATATGCACGTTAACATATGTAAACTGAAGCTCTAATGAATAACTTCAACAACCCAATTAAATATATGCTCTCCCCATCTTGGCCTACTTCCCCCATCGACACTCAGAGCAAAAGAGAAAGAAAATAAATAAAGAGAACTGTAAGGAAGTGATTCCTTAAAGATTCCTTAGCTATTGAAAAAGCTGTTGGAATAAAATCTGTTGAAGACGAGCCTTCAGTTTGCTGTTTTGATCAACCGAATTCAGCTGGAAGCTTCAACTATATGGAGTCTTGTTTGTTGGTAGTTAATAACCGAAATGGAGGCTCATATATGTCTATAAATAGCATCCACAGGTAATGCAATAGGTAGAGCTGGGTAAGGAGAGTTTAGCAGAACTCTGGAGCTCTGAAGAGGGAGCTCGAATTAGAGAGAGAAGAGTGAATCTCTGTGAGAGTCTCAGGTAGCTCTGGATGGGGGAATTCTGAGAGAATTATGGAGCTCTGAATAGTGAGCTTGAGAGAGTGAATAAGGAAGAGAAAGTGAGATTTGATAAGAGTGGTAAAATTCTTGTAAATCTAGCAAATCTTTCTGATGATTTTTGGTTAAGAAAATCATGTAAATGTCTTGATGATTTCTGGTAGTAAATCATGTTTTGCATTGGTAATAAAGTGTTGGAAAGAGGATTTCTTCTAGTTTAAATAATTTTGTATTCAGTTCTTTTGTTGGTTTTGTTATGTCTTCTTGCTGGTTCAGATTTCGTTTTGCTGGTGCAATGTGCTTCCAATAATTCGGTATCAATTTCAAACTTAAAGGAAGCCTTTGATCCCCAACAAGAACTCTAGTGAAGAAAAGAAATGAATATCATCCAAACTGAAGAAACTCATTCTACACAATGCAAAAGGACTATACAGCATTAACATACACATACAGGACAGAACAGCAATATATGCAAGTCAAAATGCCTTAATGAAACCCTAATGAATAGCTTCAATAACTTAATAATTGAAGCAAAATTATATTTTATAAAGAATGCATGATGGAACTAGATAAATAAACAGCCAATATATTATTCGACTAAGAGTTGAAAATTGTGCACTTTCCATATCTTTGACAAAGAACAAATTCGCCCCAAGGGACTCGTCTTATCACTAATAAATTAAGTTTTGGACGGGGTCCTTCACAAAAAGAAAAGTTATCACCACTCAAAAAGAAAAGGACAAGTTATCAAAATAATTTGTGAAGAAATCCTTTATGTCATTATTATTATACAATCATGGGCAAGCAGCAAAAAAAATAATCCCAGAACTCAAATGCCATACAAGACAAATAATTCAAGGGATCGATTCAACTGACTGAATAAATTCATTTAGGCAGGGGACCCCTAAAAATCAATTCTATTTCCATTAACGCTAGAAATTGCCAAAAGGGGTCAAAAAGAGAAAAAATCAGTATTTCAAATTTCACTTAATATGGCATGCATAAAAATCATAATCAAACTTTAACTAAAGGTACTCAGCAGTTTAATCATACGAACTCACCAGTAATTCTGGCAAAACTGCACCGTTCTGCGAATCAAAATCAAGAAAAATAACCAATAAAAGCTTTACTTTCTGAAGAACAAACATAAACAAATTGGGGAAAACAAATTGGTGAGAACAAACAATTTTTTTTTTTTTTTACCTGGGCAGGTGGGTTCTGATTCGATAGTGGAGCATCCATTTGAACAGAAGCCTGTGCTAGGTTCCCAAGACTGTTTACAAGGCACAATTTTTCTGGGCTACGAATCGAAGAGATACGAACAGATAAGTTTTTATAAACCCTTTGTGGAAAATTCAAAGAAGAAGAAGAAGAAGAAGAAAGCGAAGAGAGCGCAAAGGCAGCTGGAATTGCAGCGGCGATGGCAGTTTTTGATGTCACCACTGACCTCAAAAATGCCATTTTCCTTGCCTTATATCAATACTTTATCCTTCATCGTTTCATTAAGAGAGTCTATGTTCAATAATCTTGACTCTCGAACATCATATTCTAGAATCTACACACTCTCTCACTCTCTCTCATTCGCGTGGATGGGATTGGTCGATAGTATTGTTTGGTTAAATGTTCTTCTTTGTAACCACTGAATTTCTCAAATGTTTTCGAATTATCATTTTTAAAATATTTTCGAGTAAACTCCCTCGTACAATCATGCTCGTTATACACCATCCCTTTCATCATTTCTCACGTCTATTACATGGCATCATTTAATTGGACAATTTAAAAAAAATAAAAATTTTCGATCGATCTTCTTTTGACAACACAAAAAATGCCATTCATAGTGTACAAACAGCATAATCATATCTTAGAAATGTTGCCTCATTTTGAGAAAAAATTATATTTTGAAATAGTGATTTTTTGAAAAATGAGTTGTTAAAAAATGAAAAAAAAAACCAATTTACATATAAAATTATTTTATTGAAAAATGTGTAGTTGAAAATGAATTTTGAAAAAATAGAAATCAAACAAGGACTCGAATAAATTTATCATAAAGTTATTTTATTCGTCATTTGATTACTATGTGTCATGTGTGACAAATGAGATAATTATTATTTGAAAACTTGAAAATCTCAAAAGTTGAATGACAATTGGAAAACATGAGAAAGTTGCAACGGAGACACCTAACCATAGTATTAGGCCATTGGCGATGCATTTTCTTTTTTGGGTAAATTGTGGTCGGGGTTCTCAACCTTCCAATCGTGGCATCCAGGTCCCCACTTATGCAAAAGTGTGCGAATCATTCCCAACCGAAAAAGTGCTATAAGTTGTTAAGTCAGCAAGCAGCACATATCTCCTAACTAAAAGGGTAAAAATGTTAAAACATTTTTTTTCATTTTTGTAAATACCTTCCCTAAGTAACCTTTTGTAAAACTACTTTATTACCTGTTATCGTTCATAAAATAATATTCTATTTTTAAGTCTCAAAAGTCATTTGATTCATCAGACATCATGTATGTGTTTCGCGCGGGTTGTCGCTAACAATTAAAAGAAAAGCTCAGACGATTGTGTAAGGAACAAACCTCTCGAGACAAAATCTCAAAAGGTGGTGCTTTATTGATGAAAATTACAATTGGAGAGAAACAAAATACCTCAAAGGGGCGCAAGCACACGAATACTTTGAAGAGATATTTTAAAGTTAACTAAGAAATGAAATTACATATTCTCTGTTGAGACTTGAGAGTGTTTGATTCGGGATTTTTTCTTCTATGTCTTCCTTTTCTTTTTATACTTATTTGATAGTTTCTTTGTGAAAAACTGTTTGGTGCTCTATAACTACCTACCTTCTTCGTGATGGCTGACTTGTCATGAAACTGCCGTCTCTAACTGTTGTCATTACTCTTATCGTTTAACTGTTTGCAATCGGGATTCTTGGATCGTGGGGTGTGATGAGGTTGCTCAATAACCGCTTCAATAACTGATGTACGAAATAACCATAATACATTATATTCGCTCAAATCCAGGGCGACTCAAAAGTTTGGGCGAGAACGGGATCATCGCTCTGGACGATAGTAAGGCACTCCATTCGCTCGGATCCTGGGCGTCTTACAAGCTTGGGCGATGGTGGTACTTTGTTCATGGGCCTCCACTGTATTCCATAATGGTCTTATTTGGGCCTTCATCCTGAATTTCCTAATTGGACTTCATTCCTTGGACTATTCAATTTGGGCTACACTTTTTGTATGTCAACAATTACCCCCCAATATGACAGAATTAATATCAATTATTAATCATTGCCCTATTTTTTCTTTGTATTTTCCGACAATACTTGAAATTCTCAAGAATTTCAATCATTATTTTCGTTTTGGCTTTAACCTGAAAAGTGTAACGTTACAACCCTATAACCCAAAAGACACGCCACTTTATCGCTTCATTAACCCACGTCTCTATATTTCGTGCTTCTTTCTCACTACTTACTGTTCATCTCCTTGCTTCCCTGCTACATTTCTTAAGCAAATCTCACAGAGACTGTACTTTGCATCAAATGACGACTTCACAAACTTCTTCCAATGATTCCTTCAGTTTTGAGGACTTCCAAAACCTTCTTACTAGGCCGTATACAAATTCAAACTTTCTTTCACAAGCCAACCCTGACCTTCATGATTCTATCTAGGTCCGTCATTCAATGATGTTGAATCAGTCGGACAGGCGACGGTGGGTCAACTATTCCCTTGCACTGAAGACCCTCATTTGTACTACGGGCAATATTACTCCATATTCACAGGTAGATTCCCAATTTAAAGCTTTTGAACAACCTGAGCCATTTGGGTCAACTCGTTTACTATGTCATTATACATTCTATTAACACATTGAAGTTCTACTTGGCCAAATTCTTCCACCAATTCTTGGGTGGTTTCGTATTGACTTATGATGGAATCACTTGACACTTAAAATCACCAATTAATTGGTGAATTACCAATTGAGAATCGTCCCTAATAATCACATTCTTTATTCCCATATCCATCATCAACTCTAAACCCACGATTAATGCTTCGTATTCGACTTGATTATTAGTACACATCCTATTCAAAGTGAACGCGAATTTGTAACAAATTCCTAAATAATTTATCAACACTATTCCTACCCTACACCTCTAGAGGTTTCTGATCCATCAAAGTATAAAATTCAGGGTTTTAATTCGAATGAATCAATTTCCAACTCAATCTCCTTAGGCATGTTAAGACATGGATGATCTGCCAAAAGTTAGCAAAAGCTTGATTTTTTACTGCCTTTTGGGGTATGTATTGTATTTCGAACTCTGACAGTACTAAAGTCAAAAGGTCTACCCTTTAGTGTAAAATAGGGCGAGAAAACATATACTTGACCAAATTTACTTTAGAAATTAAATAGACAGTTACAGGCCGTAAATAAGCCCATAGTTTTGTTCATGTGAAATATAAAGTAAGATATAATTTTTCAATAACAGAGTAATTACATTCACATTTTGTTAACCGTCTACTCAAAAAGTAAATCGTCATTTCTTCATCAAATTGGTCTTCTTGTGCGACCATTCCAGCTATCGATTCTTGTTCAGCCGATACATACACTTTCATTGGCCGTCCTTGGATTGGTGACACCAACACTGGTGGACTCGATAGATATGTCTTTAAGCTTTCAAAAGTCTTTTGATGCTCTTCTTTCCAAACGAATTCGTCCTGATTTTTCAGTTTTAAAAGAGGTGAAAAAGCTTTCGTTCGCCCTACACAATTAGAGATAAAGCGTCTTAAAAAATTTACTTGACCTAGAAAACTTTGCAATTTTTTTTTTGTTGTTAGGTGGTTTGGCCTCAAAAATAGCATTCGCTTTATTCTTATCGAGTTCAATCCCCCTTTTGTACACTAGAAAACCAAAGAAGTTTCCCGCATTAATACCAAATGCACATTTCAAAGGATTCAATTTTAGTTTATATTACCTCATTCGCTCAAATGAACATCTTAGTTGTTCAAAATGGTCTTCCTCTTTAATGGATTTGACCAATATATCATCTACATACACTTCAACAAACTTGTCTATTATATCATAAAAAATCATGTTCATCGCTCTTTGATAAATTGCCCTTACATTTTTCAGGCTGAAAGACATAACTGCCTATTCAAAACATCCTAAAACTCCAAGGCATCTAAAGACAGTTTTGTGTATGTCTTCTTCAGCTATATAAATTTGATTGTATCCTGAATACACATTCATAAAAGAATACATCACATGTCCGACGGTTGAATCTACCAAAGAATCTATCGTAGGCATTGGATATTCGTATTTGGGCGTCGCTAAGTTTAAGTTTTTAAAATCTATGCACACTCTTAACTTACCATTCTTTTTTAATACTGGCAGGATATTAGACAACCACTCGACATATCTGGACGTTCTGATAAAACCTGTTTTTAACAATCGTTCTATTTCTTTCTTAATTTCAAGAAGTACATTAGGGACAAAACGCCTAGGAGGTTGCTTGTGTGGCTTTAAATTTGGTTTAGTTGGCAATCTATGTTCTATCAAATTTCTATCTAAACCAAGCATATGTTCATATTCCCAAGCAAAACAATCTTTATATTCTTTTAACAAAACGATTAATTTACTACTAACCTCCTGACTAAGCGTTTGATTGACAAATGTTGGGTGATCTTCTCATTCGTCACCAATATTTACCCTCCTCAAAGGGTTATGTGCTTGAGCGTGCCCAGGTTTTGTAATTCTCATTACTTCATCATCCAAGTTCCTCGTAAGCACTTCCTCTTCTAAGCAATCCACCTTGCTGACTTCTCGGCCAATATTCTACTCCACCTCGAACACTGCTAATTTATTTTTCAATGCTTTTAACGCTGCTTCTTCTTTCGTCTTGTCTTACATTCTTTATTGAAAGCCATTAACTTGGCTTTGAAGGCCAGAATGTCGGCCATTCATCCTTGTTGCTGACAACTCATCTAAAATTCCTTATTTACCTTTTTGCCAATTACTGGCTCTTCTAGGGCCACTATATTTGGCCTCATTTGTCTGAACATTTCAGTAAATGCATCCACTGAAAACGACTCTTCACTCTGTACAACAATTTGAATTTCTTCTCCATATTGGACTATCCCGACAGGTCCATAATTTCCTTCGTACATGAATCTTTCCACCGAGTTTGCTTATACAACAAAGGGTCTATGATCTGCCTACACCACTTCTGTTTCACCCTTATCATTCCAGAATACAGACATTGGTGGAGGGATGAAGGTATGCAACGACTCCAGTAGATCCAATCTCTTCCTAGTAGCACGTTGTAACTTGTAGGGTCATCTATTACAAAGAAAATAGTGATCCTAGTAGTTGTCCCTACCGTTATGTCCAGTGGCATCACCTCTTTAGTTGAAGTTGCTCCTCCGTTAAAGCTTGTGAGAATAACTTCCGTTGGGAACATATCGTTCTCT